ACTTGTGTATTAACAAACTGCTTAAGACCAAGCAGGTTGACAGATTGTTGCCTCCGAGCACATTCCACTAACAGTGAACCATTTCGGAGGAAGGTAACATTCTTAACTTCTCCGCAGGCACCTTCAATGCCTTTGGAGATAGCAAAAGGGTTGAGTTTCAATGGAGTACCGTCAGCAGAAGCAACAACGATAAACCTAGGCCAAGAATCACAGTTTTCCGTTGATATTTCATGATCAGAATCAACATGTCGACGTTTGTTAGCTTTTGAAGAACCAGATTGATTGTGGAGAGACATGATGGGATAAATATATTCAACATCTCTGCTCCCCACCCGCCATGGAGTGTCAACAAGGACGACGTTACAGCGGAAGCCAGGCTGTAGCACCAGAGCTACAGAGATGTCATACTCCAGTAAATAAAGACATGAATAGCTATGATATCCAAAAGAACATGTGCCAGGCTGGTTCGGCCCATGACACATCTCTCAAGAAACATAGAATTCAGGGGTCAATATCACCAGATTGGCCCATGAGCCACCGCCTTCTGGCATAGGACTCTAGGCAAATATTATAATGACAATTGAATAAGCACAATATTCAGCGTCAACATACAAAGTAAGCAAAATAATGTCAACATGAACATGTCCATGCACAGGGCATGGCGTGACCAGCCGATTGATGGAACCGGGCCAGTTCCACCACCCGTCTAGGTGAAGTAAGGGGCGAAGTGGTGTGTTGGGCAAAAGGAACACGGCTCCAGGCTCCCAGTGCCCTCAACCACCAGCCTCCCGTCCTCCACCGACACAGGGGTGCAACCCACGGCAAACGGGTTGGTGGACCAAATATCCCCCCAGGTCCACAACGGGGGGTTGAAGGGCGCTTAGCATTACCCAGCACCCACCACGAGGAGGTGGCCCTTCATGGGTGCCTGAACTCGATTGAGTAAATTCGAAATATATTAGCTAAAGTGAGTGAAACTTATTCAGATGATTATTTCTACCATTGTGCCTATATATAAAGAATATGGACATGGTTCCCGCATTGCAACATGGCAAACGCACATGTTAACATTCAGTTCATTCCAAGTCAAGGGGAGGTAGACAGCTAATTTATCTAGGTCGCAAGTCAAGGGGAGGTAGACAGCTAATGTATCTAGGTCGCAAGTTAAGGGTGAAGAGCAAAAAATGGATACAGTTCATTGGAAATGTTGTAAGACAGATCGACCTGCAACCGTCAACACCGTTGGTGATGTTCTCAGCAGTTCCAGGAACATACACAACCATCAAGATCAAGTTCACATCTTGTCGTTTGTTGGTTTCACCCATAGAACGCTACCGATTCCCAGTGTACTATTTAGTTTCAACTTGGGAATCAACACGTAACATGTATATTTGAAATACGCGAGCAAAATGTCTTTATGATGCTAATACTTAACCAGTGTGACGTTAAGCTGTAATCCTCTCAGTCAAGGAGTAGTACCATACACCACAGCAAAGCTTCGTATCGCGAAAAGATGAAGAACGAAATGTTTTCATTGAACAAGAATTCTTTATTTCAATCTCTTAATGTCAGCATCTTCGGGAACTCTTCCTCGACGTCATTTCACTGCTTTCTCTACCACCGGAAATGTATTCCTTGAGGGCCTTTCAACTCCAATTTGCTTTCAGCTGGCATCATTGTAGGACGACCTGAACATAAAGCGTGAGTGAATTAGTGATGAATGAATTTGCTTTTACACCGCTTTCAGGGGGTTGGCGGAGGGGGGAGTTTACGTGTGTCAAATCCTGTATGATAAGGAATAATGATGCAGTCAAGAGTATCGGCTTCTTCATGAATACCAGGTTGTAGAGTGAGAAAGTGACTTTAGTTTTACTCCGCTTTTACAAAATGCCAGCAATATCACAGCGGGAACACCAGAAATTTGCTTCACGCATTGTACCAATGTATGAATCGAACCCGGTTCGCTTGAACCAATAGCTTACTCTGCCGCCCCACTAGGTTGTTAAAGTAAACAAATTTAATATTGAACAACTTTGGAATAGGGATTTTGAGAGTTAAACTAACACTGACTGGTTATAATAAATGGACCAAATGAAGGCAAGGGGTTATTATTCAACAAGGAGATAAACAGAAAGTGGAATCGGGATTTCTTGATGTTATTGAGCTTGTTCAGTTATCAAGACAGTGTTTGGGATATATTAAGTATATGTTTCCCCCAAACTGGATGATTGGATATTGTCTGCAGAAATGTTCTCTGTTAACAGTAGTTGATAGTTGAATCAACGAACAATGAAACCTGACACAAGGTGTGTGTGTGTGTGTGTGTGTGTGTGTGTGTTATATCCATTGATGATGCACAGCCTGATTATCATAATGCAAATATGCATCTTGAGCAAAGGTGTCTGAAAGGGAAACATGCCCAAACTCCACGTGTTAAAGTCATATCCACTGGTGAGCTCAGAAAGAGAACAAACAACCTTTGGATCTGCTATTTCAACTGATTAGAGTTAATGAGTAGGTGGGTCAAAATTTAACATTGCATCGGCAGTATTTCATCCATACCGTGACGGGAACTAACATACTTAAATACCTGTCCCAAAGAAACCTTAGATATGCGAACAATATTGCATTGCATACACAAAAAACTAACCCTGTCGAATATCAAACCATTCAAGTCAACCAGTATAATATTTGCACACCTATAATTACGCCTTATAATTGAATGAAATATTTGCTCCAAACGTTCTGTGCTTCAAACTGGACATTCATAGCGTGCCACTGCTCCTTCACTCTGATATAACATTCTAACTCATCCCTGCTTGGTCTCGATAAAATGTTATAACATTAAGCGAACCTGCACCATCCTAACCTTCAGTATCCCATGCTTTTCAGGCCCAGTGACTTAATGGAAGCATGTCATCTCTCCCAGCGTAGGTAGATGCTCATGCTGTCCATCACTGAAAAAACTAATAACACAATCAATTTTTTATGTGTGCCACTGCCAGGGCAGGATGGAAATTGTTTTCACCTTTTCACAAAACCCGGTATAATTTCAATAGTGATTCATAAAGGCAGTTCGATAGCCTAGTGGTTGGCTCGTCACGCCGAAGACCCGGGTTCGGTTCCCCACACTGGTGTCCCCCGCAATGATATTGCTGGAATAGTGCTAACAGCGGCCTGAAACTAAACTCACTTACACTCACACTCACAAGTTGTAGATATCTTGTCACTTGTGACATACGATGATTCAGTGTTGTGGGACTGGTGTACACATAATCAGGACTGACGGAGGAGGACCCTGAAAAACAAACAACCATGCATCAGCACACATACTGAGACATCTATCCTCGACATCAAGCTGTGTTCGTAATATCTTGTTAAAATGTTATGCGAAGCATCATTGATAATCTCCAAGGTATACGTTCCGATAATAAATCTCCACGGGTACCCTGGATGCATCTGTGAAGAGACTTTTATCAAAATCGCCGACCATGCGGATCAGCGGTCATGCGGCTTAGTGAATCATACAATACCATTATTCCATATCTGTCTGACGTATTACGTAGTTAACGGAGACACGAGGAGTATCGTCTATATAGTGTCTCGGGGGACTAAAGGGGCAGATGAGTGTCCCCAATACTGTTCTACTCACCTCGCAGAGGCCCAGGATCAGCACTCAACTGGGCCACTGAAATAACTGAAACATATAAGAAAGTAAACCTGTTGTTCGTACTGTTCTGATTTGTTTGTTGTGTAACGCCACTCTCAGCAATACTGCAGCAATATGGTGGTGATCTGTCAATAATCGAGTCTGGACGAGAGATTCTAGTGACTGACATGTGCATCGATCTACGTAAATGGGATACGATGACATGCATCAACCAAGTACGTGAATCTGATCACTCGATCCTTACCAGCGCGGGTTTTCTCTGACAGGTCTGTTTTCTAGTAGTATACAGCTTAACGATTATTATGCTATGGATGCATGTTTTGTTCAGTCATCTGACGGCTCTGGTTCATTGATATATAACCCAATGTGACACTTCTAACACAATGCAAGGGACTAATCAAATCAATATCAGGTGTATTAATAGCAGATTGTTGATAAAACGTGTTCTTAATCGAACAAACTTGCAAACATATAAATATAACAATCTTTATGGATTTGTATGAGGAAAATGTGAAGTTTCATTGATTGGAATAATGGAAATTGTGTTTCATTGTTCATAGAAATGGTTCATAGAAATATATCCAATAAATCCTAAAGCTTTAACCAGGATTTATTACACTTAAAAAGTATTATTGTAAATGCCTATTCAAGTAAACATTTGCGGTTCTTAATTGTGAGGGAAATTTGAAGAGTTACTTGCACTTATCAGACATAATTTCCTCTTTTGAGACTTTAAAACCATATTTAGAAATACACTTTTGGAAATATAACAAGAAGCTGAGAAGCGTTGAATAGAATATGTTTTCAACAAAATAATCTTGTTTGGCTTATCAGTAGCAGTTTTTCAGAGAGGTTGAATTCTTTATGAACCGCAATGTGCGAGTGCTTTTGGGACGTGTATTACTATTGGGAGTTATCGGTCTTGTTTGAAGTAGTTCTGGTCTTAAAATGTAATCTAATATGTAATCTTTGTGGAGGGTGAGGAATCGCCATTCGGCTTGTTCCGGAATTACTCGAGTTGGTAGCGAATGCCTGCTGTTTAACATTAACTCAATACACTTCCCATGATATTCAGACGGAAATGACATCATTTATAACTCCAATACCTTCCATTCAATTTTCATTTGATATTTGAAAATATTTTAAGCCATCATTGGATCGATTTCCTTGGGTGACGGTCAAACACTTTCAACGCCTCTACTCACAAAACACAGTTGAGCTACAGGGTTTTTGAGGCTTCTGTAATATTTGTCATCTTCATGAAAAGTTAGTGCGATCTTACATTCTTATGAAAAGTGACGGTGGTGTAACACACGGGAGGCGAACGTACCTAGAACCATCAGAAGTAACAGCTTCATGTTGAATAACAACGGCGTGGGTAGTCGTCAGGAAAGTAGTATGGCCAATCAATACGGCAGTCTTATAAACATTTACACAGCACGGAGAACATTATGATTGATTCAAGCTGTGAATGCTATGATTCTGCTTGTGAAGTGTCATGTTTCAGCTAAAAGAATGTTTATTGATGCTTAATGAATTTGACGGAAATTATTTATGTAACATATATGAATGTTGTCACATGAGTTCACAATAAACATAATATCGCTATACAGATTAAAAAATGTACTTTTCAGGTTTTTTCGACTTTTAATTAACAGAAACTTAGCATTTACTCTTCGCCTTATGGTTCTTGAGAAGAGATATGGAAACTGTACATGAAATTGATTTGAAAAGATTATGAAATCTGGAATGTTTCTCAAGCCTGAAAATGTATGGAACATCTAAACTTTTGACCAACAAAAGTGATATTAAAGTAGAAGACGATTAATTACCATAACGACTATTATGGGGGGACAAGCAGGTACATGTTCATTTGACAGCTCCGAATATATCCGTATTTTACAGCCGACCACTGGGACACAGACCTGCGCGTAGGATTTGTGAGCGTGTCCTTTTGTTATTCGTATTCAACATTCCCCTCACATCTAACAACTTTTGTCTTTTGTTTCCTATTTACATATTAATCACACAATCTTGTCAGAAACATTGGCATTCACGTCAGATTTATCACTGTGTATTATAATCAGTCTAAATGGTTAATTAGATGTCAGTTTGCTAAATTGTTTGGAATTCTCATGAATGTACAGGTACAAAACAGCCTGTGAAGGTTTGGTCCGCTCTGATTTTGTATCTGTCTGTACCATTTTGGGTTTTACCAAACTGGTCAGCATCCATGACACGATGGCATACATCAACCAGGTATGTGACTCTAATCACTCGATCCCGTTAGGCGCCTCTCACAGGCGTATGTTGCTGAAGACAGTTATGTATTCTTGTAGTATAGAGAATGTCGACTATTGTGGTATCGATTGATGTTTTGTCTACTCTTATGATCGCTCTGCTTCACTTGTATAAACCCAATGTGATACCAATAACAAAAACTAATATTACACAACCCGATCAATATAAGTATTCAATTTGGCTGGCGAAAGCTTTTGAATTTATTGCCTTTAATTTCCATAAACCAATTCTAACTGTTTCAGCTATGTTCTAATAAAAGGTTCTACGCTTAATAGTACAAACTGCGTAAATTGAAATTTGAGGGTTTCTATCAATCGAACTGTGTATCTATATCATATTGATAAGTTTGTCCCACACAAAGCAATCCCATTATAGACAATCTGCTATTAATATACTAGATGTATCTACCGGGGATCAGCAAACACACGGACGCGTTAGAATACGTACCTCCGGTGTATAATAATATGCAAAGTAGATCATTACATAATAGATGGTATCTCCCCAGTGAAGCGAAATGTATAGGAGTAAGAAAACGGTAATGTACGAAAATATAATTGTGAAACCCGTTGCTCTGTTTATCAGAAAATAGAAGATGAAGGGAACGGTCATATATGAATATACATTGTTTTGAAACTCGTGGCTCTATTTATCAGCTCTTATTACAAATAAAACGGTTATTAAACTAAAATATACCTGGAGTACCAAATATACAGACAAAGAAAATACTGAATAGGGAAATCACATTGCTAACAGTGCATGGATCTCAATTAACGAGTTACTATTTGTATTATCATCATGTACTTTGTACTGTCTAGATGACGATATGCATTTTTAACGACTGCATATTGAATTATCAGATTTAAGAAACCAGGTTAACTTTCAGTTGTTGGTCGTATTCTCACACATGTCCTTGTTAGAGGGACGGGACTTCCTGTAGTTGCCGGACAGGGGCGAGAGGTGTCATTGTTAGAGGGACGGGACTTCCTGTAGTTGCCGGACAGGGGCGAGAGGTGACATTGTTAGAGGGACGGGACTTCCTGTAGTTCATGGAGAGGGGCGAGAGGTGATATTGTTAGAGGGACGGGACTTCCTGTAGTTCATGGACAGGGGCGAGAGGTGACATTGTTAGAGGGACGGGACTTCCTGTAGTTGCCGGACAGGGGCGAGAGGTGACATTGTTAGAGGGACGGGACTTCCTGTAGTTCATGGAGAGGGGCGAGAGGTGACCTTGTTAGAGGTACGGGACTTCCTGTAGTTCATGGACAGGGGCGAGAGGTGATATTGTTAGAGTGACGGGACTTCCTGTAGTTCATGGAGAGGGGCGAGAGGTGACATTGTTAGAGGGACGGGACTTCCTGTAGTTCATGGAGAGGGGCGAGAGGTGATATTGTTAGAGGGACGGGTCTTCCTGTAGTTCATGGACAGGGGCGAGAGATGACATTGTTAGAGGGACGGGACTTCCTGTCGTTGCCGGACAGGGGCAGGTGACATTGTTAGAGACGGGACTTCCTGTAGTTCATGGACAGGGGCGAGAGATGACATTGTTAGAGTGACGGGACTTCCTGTAGTTCATGGACAGGGGCGAGAGGTGACATTGTTAGAGGGACGGGTCTTCCTTTAGTTCATGGACAGGGGCGAGAGATGACATTGTTAGAGGGACGGGACTTCCTGTAGTTCATGGACAGGGGCGAGAGGTGACATTGTTAGAGGGACGGGTCTTCCTGTAGTTCATGGACACGGGCGAGAGGAGACATTGTTAGAGGGACGGGACTTCCTGTAGTTCATGGACAGGGGCGAGAGGTGACGACTGAATCAACAGTTGCCATCAACGTGTCATGCATGTATCACATAGTGAGAATAGTGGACCCACCTGATATTGATTTATACACGCCCCGAATCATTGTTACTATCTTTATAGTCAGTTCCTTTAGTTTTTGTTAGTTGTATCATATTGGGTTATATATCAGTGAGCCGGAGTGTCTAACGGTATCGAGTGATCAGACTCACTTACCTGCCATCGTGGCATGGCTGTTGGTCAAATTTAGTAAAACCCAAAACGGTACGGACAGAAACAAAATCAGAACGGACCAAACCTTCACAGGCTATTTGTACCGTACATTAATGAGAAATCCAAGCAATTGAGCAAACCGACATCTAATTAAGACAGTAATTTTGTGCACTGAAGGTTGAATAGAACCTGACTGTTTGTTTGAATGGTAATGCACATTCAACATATGCTGTTATATACATTTTTCGGTCTCTGTCGTCATTTTCATATGTAACTGTTCTCAAATAATGTTCAAACCTTGTAAATGAACCATTAACATTAATTTTAGTACAAAGTGATAAATCTAACGAAAATGCCAATGTTTAGGACAAGATTGTACGATTAATATGTACATAGAAAACAACAGGGACATTTGTGAAATATGAAGGGAATGTTGAATGGGAAACAACAGGGTCAAATACACATGGCCTGCTTATCCCCAGTAATAGCCGTTATCGTAAGTAATCGTCGTCTACTCCAACGTCACATTTGCTCGTATGTTTTGTTGTTTAATCAGCAATATGACGGCGGTCTGTAAATAATCAATCTGGAACAGACAATAAAGTGATCAAAATTATGAGCTTCGATCTGGGGTACAATGTCATGAGTCAACCAAGTCAGCGAGCCTGGCCACCCGATGCCGTTAGTCGCCTCTTACAAGAATGGGTTGCTGAAGACCAACTCTAACCCGGATCTTCACAAGTGTCTCATACTCAGGAAACCTAACGCTGCAAAGGCACGTCATAAATATATGCAAAGGTAGTGAATTATTTATCTTAAACATCGTGAATGAACGGTTTAAGTCAAAATAGTCAACTACATTAATTTGACTTAGTTTTGCGTCAAATTGTAAAATGTTCTCCACGCCTTCCACAAAAAAAGTGAAAGCTAAACCGAGACCTTGAATATTGTAACATTAATCGAACAAATTCTGAACGCTCCTTGATAATCTTGGTAAAACAGCATGCTGGATTGTACCTGAAAATTTGTGAAATGTCAGGTGAGGTGAGGTAAAATTGGGTTTAACGTCGTGCTTGAGAATATTTCGCTCATATGACGACGTGCATGCGTGTGTATGTGCGGCTGCTTGTACTAGCCAAGACTGAAGCTGGTTTTATAGTGCTAGCTCACTGAGATACCATGCCGCAGTGAAGCATGAATACCCCACTCAGACACAGTATACTGACTCCGAGCCGACCAGTCCTTGTTGTACCCAATAATGCCGAGCGCCAGGCAGGGACCAACAAGTACCATGTTTTAACGTCTTTTGGTATGACGCGGTCGGGTATCGAACCCGCGACCTTCCGCTCTCCGGGTGGACGCTCTAACCACTACACCACGGAGGCTGTCTTGTGAAATGTGAAGGGAAAATTGATTGCTGGAAAGCTGAAACCATGTGGAGGTTTTTTTTCACTCTGAACCATTATGCATAGATCTAAATAGACAACAGATAAAACGGTGTCTCCTTCATTTCAAGTGCTGGGAAATTTATTCAGTGGATAGCAATTGTCTTTTTACAAATATTGAATGATATGTGATCACTGATATAGCCCCTCTTACAAGTTAAACGTTTATGTTGCCAACCTGAGCAGAAAATTCATATGCATAAATATACAATTTCCTATAAAAATCAAATGAAATGTGGTCTATTTGTTCTCACCTGTGCAGGATATCTTTCAGCCTTTGACATAAAATTTAAAATCTTGCCTTTCACTGGACGCTGAATTTACTCTAGTTCATTCCAGACCCTGCTCAACCAAGCAAGCAGGAAATTAATATCCTCCGCCCGGCGTTTAGCGCGAAAAGGGGGATATAGTATTAGGCTCAGTGTTTGCAATACTTTAATTTGCCAGTTGGCCATCAGGGCCTGCTGCCGTCAGCAGGCCTTAAAATGTACAGGCCCTGAATGAAATCTGCAGGCCCATTGTTAAAATCAAACCAATAACAACAAAAGAGACTACACTGTGCACAGTTTCAAATGGTTTCTACAAAATCAATTGGCGAAGCCTATGGCGCAGAGAGAAATTTTTATTTGTTAATTTTAATTTGGCATTCCTCTACGCAAAGCGCTGAAATGAAATTTGAATTTAGGCTCCGTCCGTACGTCCCGCACATACACCTATGTACGAATTGAAATATCTTAAGAAATCTTTTCATATTTGGTACCTAGGCTTATGGCAGTATGCAAAAGGTCCCAGTCAGGTTAAGTGTCTGGCACAGGGCCCAGTCGATTTTGCTGACCTTCCCGTAATTTCAAGGTCACAGCGACACTTTGAAGTTTTCAGCATGTTAACCTGCACGTTAAGCTAGTCAACTAAATACCTTAAGAACGGTTCTCTGGATATTCTTCATATTTTACACCAACAATTTATCTAGGGGAGGCGCAGGGCCCAGTCAAGTTTGGTAACCTTCACATAATTTTAAAGGTCACAGCGAAATGTCAACCTTCATGTTAAGACTGTCAGCAACTTATCTCAAGAACGGTTCGCTGGATTTTCTTCATAGACTTTCAAGACTTCTCTTGAATATGTTTTGATAAGCAATTTCTTTGTTACTATTTTTGCATATTTCATACACCGACATTCATATCCAGTCAAAGTGACTCTTGAAAATATTTGTGTGTTTGCACAACTACAAAACAAGATATCAAGAGAGGTTGACTGGTCATGTTTTTGTTGACATTGAACTTCACCTGAAACTACGACCTACACATTCATTACTTATTAAGTTTGATTTGATAATTTGCGGCGGGGGATTATGTCACCTTAGTGGCAATGCTTGTTATGCTTACCATTTCTACTAAACATCGTACAGATTCTTCATGTCTAACGCCACACCTGACAATATTCCAGCTGTTTGGCGGCGTTCGTAATAAGTGAATATGGACCAGACTATCCAGTGACTAACTCTATGAGCATCGATTCACGCAGTTGGGATACGATGGCATCGAGTGTGACCACTCCATTCCTACACTAACAACTAGTCTACTTCACAGAATAATAGCTCATAGTAAAAAAATAAATATAATGAAAAGGCCTGATACTTTCTTCATTTTCAGAATCTGTTGCAGACTTGCCACATTTTCTAGACTTGCGTGGGCTATCTTGAATATATTTGCTTCAGGGTCTGTATGACAGACTACTCCATTCCGTAAGCAGCCTCCCACGATAACCAGGGGTTGCTGAAGACCAATTCTAATCCAGATCTTCAGGCTTGAGAAACATCCTAGTTTTGATATTATTTTCAAATCAATTTCAAGTACAGTTTTCAAATCTTTTCTCAACGATAACCCAGGGTATGAAATAAGGCCCGTCCGACGAGGTGGATTACTGACGGACGGTCTAGATTTACAGCTCGTCAGCCCGATGGTCTAGTGAATTATTTTTATGTTACATCTGAGGAAATTCACCATATCTTTTTTTTCATTTAAGTCTTTTATTTCCCATTTCCATGTTACAAATACAGGATCGCTTGTTCAGTACGCGTTTGAAATAAATATCATGTACAATTTAAGTTCAACAACTGTAGAATTATTACAGATGTCGTGTGAATACTGCATAAAATACAATGGTAAGGTAGAATTTCAACTTTACAAATACAAGATCGCCTATTTGATAAGCATTTGAAAGGAATATCATGGAAAATTTAAGTTCATCAATTACATCAAAATTAATCCAAATTAAATTGAATTTTGAGTCCTGAAAATCTTGGGAAAAATTGAAAGTGAAATTGGAAACTGCCTGTAATCCCTCTGATCCATCTAGGGCTAAGGTAGCGTCACCTGCAAATTGCTCAAGATTGTGTTCGATATTGCCCGTTCTTACACCCTTAATATTTTTTTGACCGCCTCCGTTGTGTAGTGGTTAGAGCGTCCGCCCGGAGAGCGGAAGGTCGCGGGTTCGATCCCCGGCCGCGTCATACCAAAAGACGTTAAAATATGGTACTTGTTGGTCCCTGCCTGGCGCTCGGCATTATGTGTACAACAAGGACTGGTCGGCTCGGAGTCAGTATAATGTGTCTGAGTGGGGTATTCATGCTTCACTGCGGCATGGTATCTCAGTGAGCTAGCACTATAAAACCAGCTTAAGTCTGGGCTAGTACAAGCAGCCGCACATACACATACACACGCATGCACGTCGTCATATGAGCGAAATATTCTCAAGCACGACGTTAAACCCAATTTCACCTCACCTCACCTTAATATTTTTATCTTTTCTAATAAGTAGTGCAAGGATCTTCGGATGCAGATTCTGGAGGAAATAAAGAAATTCATTCATTCATAATATCTACTTTTCTAAGTTGTGCAAGGATCTCTATACACAGGATAAAGATATAAGGAGACACTGGGTGTCTGGGTATGTTGGTGTCTGGTCTGGTTAAATCCGGTTTGGGCTGGTAACATTTTGAAGTTACCAGCCCTGATGTCCCGCTGGGTTTATGGTTGGGTGGGTTTATGGGTTTATTTCATCAACTGGATAACCACGGGTTACTGAAAACAAATTCTAAACCTTATTTCAGGCTTAAGAAACATCCCAGATTTCATAATCTTTTCAAATCAATTTCATGTACAGTTTCCAAATCTCTTCGCAAGAACCAAAGGAGAGAATAAATGCTAAATTTATGTTAACAAAAAAATCGAGAAAAACCTGAAAGTACATTTTAAATCTGCATAGCAATGTAATGTTTTTTGTGTTCTCATGTGACAACATTCATATATGTTACATAAATAATTTCCGCCAAATTCATTAAGACTCAATAAATATTCTTTTACCGAAACATGACACTTCGCAAGCGGAATCATAGCATTCACAGCTTGAACCAATGAAAATGTCATCCGTGCTGTGTAAATGTTTATAAGGCTGCCGTACTGATGGGCTAAACTACTTTCCTGACGACTACCCAGACGGTTGTTATTCAACATGAAGCTGTTACTTCTGATGGTTCTAGGTAAGTTCGCCTCCTGTCTTTTACACCACAGT